CGAGGAGAGGTGTCACGCTGGACCTTGTTCTTACCAACAAAGAGGGGCTCTAGCCATGCTGCCCAAGCCTCAGAAGGCAAAGGCAAGGACTGGGAGAATGAAGAACCACCCACTGTGGAAGAAGATCAGGTTTGAGACCGTCTAAGGAACCTGAAGGTGCACAAGTCCATGGGACCTGATGAGACGCATCTGCGGGTCCTGAGGGAACTGACAGATGCAGTGGCTAAGCCAGTGACAAGAGGTGTTGCTCAGGGGTTGGTATTGGGACCGGCACTGTTTAACATCTTTGTCAGCAACGTGGACAGTGGGATCGAGTGCTCAGCAAGTTTGCCAAGGACACCAAGCTGTGTGGTGCGGTTGACACTCTGGAGGGAAGGGATGCTGTCCAGAGGGACCTGGATAGGCTTGAGAGGTGGGCCCATGAGAACCACCTGAAGTTCAGCAAGGCCAAGTGCAAGGTCCTGCACATGGGTTGGGGCAATCCCAGGCACAAGTACAGGCTGGGCAGAAAATGGATTGAGAGTGGCCCTGTGGAGAAGGACTTGGGGGTGTTGGTGGACAAGAAGCTCAACGTGAGCCGACAACGTGTGCTCACAGCCCAGAAAGCCAACTGTGTCCTCGGCTGTATCAAAGGCAGCGTGACCAGCAGGTTGAGGGAGGGGATTCTGCCCCTCTACCCTGCTCTCGTGAGACACCCCCTCCCAGCTCTGGGGTCGCCAGTATGACCTTATTGCAGTACCTGAAGGGGCCTACAAGAAAGCTGGAGAGGGACTGGTGACAAGGGCAGGTAGTGACAGGACAAGGGGGAATGGCCTGAAGCTGCAGGAGGGGAGATGGAGATGAGATCTGAGGAAGAAATTCTTCCCTGTGAGGGTGGTGAGGCACTGGCACAGGGTGCCCAGAGAAGCTGTGGCTGCACCATCTCGGCGTGCAGGTTGGATGGGGCTTTGGGCAACCTGGGCTAGTGGAGGGTGTCCCTGCCCGTGGCAGGGGGTGGAACTGGATGGGCTTTGAGGTCCCTTCCCACCCAAACCAGTCTGAGATTCTATGAATCTCAACATGGGGAGAGGATGCTGGGCTCTGGCATCACTGCTATCTGACAACACAGCACAGAACATGTTCACCCAATGTGGGGAGTCTCCCTGTACTTCAGCTTTGTCAGCACTTCTGTTCTTGGCACATGGGGTTGCAGCTGCACATACTGTAGTCTTGCATGCACTTCACCTCTGCACATTGTGCCTGGTGTGTCTGTGCCGATCCTGTGAGCTTGTGCAGGTGTCCTGTGCAGATGAGGTGACCCCACAACTTCATCCACATCTCATATCTGCGTGCTGACCCTGCGAGCTCATGTCTTGTTCCCAGCTGCAGCCTCCTCCTTCTCTCCTTTCTCCTCTCACATAGCTCCTCCTGGGAACAGCCATTCTTGGCCCTGCAGGATATTCAAAGAAGTCAGAGGTCAGGGTGCTGTAGGGGCTCCATTCAGTCTCAGAAGCTCTGACTCCTGCTCCCACATATTCAAGCAGCAGGCCTTGCACAACTCCAAATTAAGTGTTTCCTGGGCTGTCCCCCCATTTCCCTTTTATTTCTCAGGCAAACATTAGGAGCCTCATAAGTGAGCTGCAGTAAAACCAGCTGTTGATCCAAGTTTTGGGGTGGGTGCTAAATACAGATCCTGGGGCTGTCCTGCATTAGCTTCTAGCAAAGTTCCTAGAAAAATATCCAGACTCAGTTTAAAAATTTCCAGGAGTGGTGAATTCACTAGAGGCCTTGATGAGCCCTTTTGGTGGTTAATTATCCTCACAGCTAAAAACGTGCACCACATCCCAGACTGCGTGTGCTCTGCAGCCTGCAGCTGTGGGTCCCAGCTACTCATGTCAGCTAGACTGAGGTGTCTGCCATACCTAGTGGCTGATCAACCTCTGTGCTGCCTCTCAGAGAAGTCCCCAGGAGGCATCACCCCAGCTGCAGTGGGGATCTGCGCTGCCTTTGGGGCTTGTGTCAGGCCCTGCTGAGCTGCGGGCAGGTGGCCAGCCCCATCCCACGAAACGCACACAGGGTATTAGCGGTCTGCAGGCGCTGCCTGCCTGTGGGCAGGAAAGCTCGGGCTGGGGTTGCACCAGCCAGAGCCCCACTCCCTCTCCACACAGTGGAAGAGGCGCTAAGCAAACTTTCCAGCCACCCCACAGTTTGCTGACAATTAGCTGCTCCTTCAGGTGTATTGTTGTTCCTGTGGCTTTTCTCTGGGCACTAATTTAGCACCACCCCTCCAAGTGAGACTAGGACCAGACACAAGTCTCCAGTAGTGGTTGCACCAGTGCTGGTGTAGCAGTGACATGACCTCTCTTGGACCCTGTGTGAGCTTGTACGGACAGGGTTTGTGTTAAGACTGTTGGTCCACAGACAGTCCCACAGCAGGATGGGGAGGTGGGGTGCCAGATACATGTGAATGGGGAACTGTTCTGAGGATGCCCGGCCCTGACTCTGCAGCTAGGTTTGCCTCTGATGCCAGACTGCTGGCTCCATGAGGCAATCTTGCAGGGAGATGGCTCTGGGTACCAGGGAGCAGCCAGGGAGGTGGTGCTGTACTGTGTAATAGTGAGAGCTCGTCTGTTTCTCCCCTGTTCCCAAAATCTGACCCAGCTCCTGTGGCAGAAAAATGGATTTCCAGATAGCTTCCCCTGTGGGTATCTTTCTTAGGATGGTGACCATCACAGAATAGATAAGGTGGGGAAGTGAGGGTGTTCTGGAAACATCAGAGCCCTTGGCCTGAGAAGCCTCAGGAAAATATCTTACTCTGCTGCAGAGCTGGTTGCTATACAGTGTATTAAAGCAGCTGACATGCATTTTAGAGCACTTTCAGGGTGATAAGCAGTTCATTTTGAAGGAAAGAAGTTATTAATTTGCCATATAGTGCCTACTCCAATCACTGCGGCAGCTTGTCAGTTCCAGGTGTGTTTCCATCTGCAGTGGTAGAGAACGGTACCAGCTAAAGTGCAGGCATGGTGCACAACTCAAGTGTATTGGTACAGGGCTATTACCCCAGCAATAGTATCCAACACGGAGCCTGAATACAGGTTTCAGCAATGTCAGTGAGGTCAGATTTATGCTCTCGCATGAACAGCTCCACAGCAAAGGGAGCTGGGGCAGAAGGGAGGGAGGATGTTGAATTCGGAGGGGGGGGGGGGGGGGGAGGCAGGTGGGTCCAGTTTCCCAAATTACCTTCTAGCTGGGCTGCTGTCGTGGCACCTGTGGCTCTGAGTGCTCTGCAGCTGGAGCAGGGAAGGGGGATCCTGTTTCATGGCGCTTCTCTTGGCAGCTGCTGCAAGGCTGGGGAGCAAATACTCTGTACAGGGAGCATGGTGATCCTTGTAGGTGTGCTCTCAGCTTCTCCCCTCAGGCGTCCCTTTAGACCACAGGCAGCAGGGCAGGAGCTGGTGAGGGTGAGTTGCAGGTGCTGCCTCCCTTCCCTGGAGGATGTGGATCACTGCTGGCTCCCCTCCCTGGGGTGCAGAGTATATGGTCTGGGGGAAGGGAGGTCCCACCTCTACCTGACCTATTTTTTCTTCCCTTGCCCAGCCATTCTCTGTATTCTCTCTTCTTGTTCCTTCATGTCTGATGATCGAGCGAGTGGTTCAGGTTAGGGGCCCTGCCCGAAGGAAAGAGCTGTTTGCAGCCCCCAGCTGGGCCCTTTCCTTGGCGCGTGTGCAACGTTCCTGTGCTTCTCGCTCACGGGAGCCGAGGCCCCAATGCTGCTGCTGGGAGGAGCTGTGGCTGACGAGGCCTGAACTCCACTTCACCCGGGCCTGGCCCAGCTGCCTTCCTCCTGGCTCCATCCTCTAGCTTTGTTCTCTGTGCAGAGCTCCCAGCTGGTGGATGAGCCATGGGCAGTGATGCTGGGGGTCAGGAGGAAGGAGCTGTTTTCTGCTGACCTGAGCTCTGCAGGGAGCCCAAGGAGGAACTGGGGCTTTGGAAGCAGGGAGCAGTTTTAATGCTCCTGCTGTGTCTGTAACTGCTAATGCAACTCATGTGCCCTGAGGCTCCAGTGGGCCCTGGCTGTCACAGGGCAATGCCACCCTCAGTCATCATCCTCAGAGCCCAGGGCTGCTGGGCACAGAGCTCTGAGAGCAGGACAGAGCCTGCATGGTGAAAAGGGGGCTGTTTTTCTTCCCATCTTGTCTTGAGTGCCTTTGCCGAAAAGAAGGAGCAGAGGGCCATGGGCAGCTGCTGCAAAAGCACAGGTTGTCCCTGGCTGGCCGATCAATCTGGGCGCAATGCAGATGCTTGGCTGCTAGATCCTCGGCATCTGTGTGAGGCTTGGCCTTTCTGCACTCCCTGTCCATATGGTCTTTTCCTTTGCTAAGGCAAGTCTGTTGACCTGGGTCATGGATGTTGCCCCAGGGGTGCAAGAAGGGAGGCATCACCTGAAACAAGGCACCTCTGGTGGTGCAGGGACCCATGGCAGCACTGTAGATAGAAAGCATGGTGCAGCTCTTGTGAGTCTGCAAGGCTGTGCTCCTCCACCTCTGTGTCCTCTCACGGGGACTGGGACAGCATAGGCTGATCCTGGGGTGCCCCACAGCTGCCTGCAGCACTGCCCAGGGCACTGTCTGCAGCCAGTGAACCCCTGGGAGGCCATGTCCTCTTGCAGGAAAGGCTGCAGAAAAAGTGGTGGCTTGTCTGGGACAAGAATCGCAGGATTGAGGTGGTAACTGTCAGTCTGCTTTACTATGGCCACCTTTGAGGACTGTGCAGTGGTTGTGGGCCATGGAGCAGAGGGCAGCACTGGGTTGTGGAGGTGGTGGTGGTGATGGGCTGGGTCTAGCTGGTGGTCTTTGTGATTCTGGCCCTGCTCATATAGTGCCTTCCCTCATCCAGGTGACAGCCACGGATGCAGACAGCGGCACTTTTGGCTCCCTTTCCTACTCCATTGGTTCTGGCATTGGCAGTGTTGTCCCCACGCAGTTCAGCATCGACAAGCACACAGGGCAGCTGTGCACTGTACAGCCGCTGGATCGTGATGAGGGCATGTCTGCCTATGATTTCACCATCACTGCTGTTGATGGGGTGAGTGCTGGAGAGGCCACTGGGATGCGATGCTGCTGACTCAGCACCGTGCAGGGGATACTGTTGTCCTTGCCCCTGTTCTTTGCACCATCTCTGATCTGGTCCTTCCACAGGGTGGCCTGAACTCCATGGTGTACGTGAAGGTTTTCCTAGAGGACATAAATGACAACCGGCCAGTGTTTTACCCACTGGAGTATGCTGCCAGCATCAGCACACAGAGCATGCCAGGTACAGCTGTGCTGCGTGTTACTGCCCACGACAAGGATGAGGGCCTGCACGGGAAGGTGACCTACCGCATTGTCCTAGGAAACTCACCCCCTCTCTTCTCCCTCAACAAGGACACAGGTGAGAGAGAGCTCAGGGGGCAGCCAGAGTAGGCAGCAACCAGAGCGGTGGGATGTGGGCAGGTGTAAAAGCCAGCCTGAGGGTCACTGCTTGGCCATCTCAGCAGTACAATCTGCCACCAGAATATGTCTGTTCCTCTCCCGGCCACATATTACCTGCCTCGGCTTCTTGAGCCTCTGGCAACTCCTTCCCAGACTCAGTCTCTGACCTCTTGTTTCTGCTCCCTGCTCTGTTCCTCATTTGTCCTGTCTTCCTTCTTCTCCCTCATTCCTCATCCCTGACTCACTGTGCCTTTCCTCCTGCATGCTGCTTGCTTTGCCCCATCAAGCTGTATCCTGCTTAGTTTCTTGTCCCTGCCCAGTTCCCTCCTCTCCCCTGCTCAGTTTACCCTCCTTCCCTATAACTCTCTGTCGCACCCAGTCCCTCCTTTCTCATTGCTGCATCTGCTCTGCCAAAACCAGAGCAATTTCTGCTGGGGAGTGAGTGCATGGGCATGTGGTGCCAGGGGCTTGCAGCAGGACAGGAAGGTGTCCTGTGCTCAGCATAGGCATCAGGGTCTCTCCACACTGGTCCCCAAGTTCCCAGAATGTGACTGGAATGAGACAGGCCTACCAGCCGTCTTAATACAGGGCCTGTCAAGGATGGTCCTTCAGTTCTACAGTTCCTCCAAGAGCCTCCCCACAGCCCAGATCCCACCTCCTGCGTCGTGACCCTCACCCTGCACCCCACAGTGGAAGCCCTATTGCCTCCTTTACCTTTCCCAAGACCTGCTTTCTGGCTGACTTGCCCCAGCCCTTACCACTGCTTAGCTCAGGGCTGGGCTTAAGGTTGAGAAAGGAGGATTTGAGGTGGCTTTCCCAGGAGGGTTCCTCTTCTTTACTCCAGTTCTTCCATGGTGAGCTCCTCCCTGTGACACACATTGTTTGCTTCCCCCTTAGGTCATGCTTTTCAAGCTTATAGTTTGGCCTGACAGATGACAGGCAGGGGTGCAGGCATAGTGCCCTCTGAACTGCTTTCTTCCCTAGGTGTCATCTCCCTCTCATGGTCCCTGAGTGGTAAAGCCAACACCCTGGTGCAGCTGGTGATCTCTGCACAAGATGGTGGGGGCCTACAGGCACAGCCAAATGCCCGGGTGAACATCAGCATCGTGGAGGGCACGGTCTCACCTCCTGTCTTTGAGCAAGCTCAGTACTTCTTCACAGTGCCTGAGGACATGCCGCAGGGTGCCAGTGTGGGGACTGTCCGGGCCCAGAATCCTCCAGGTACAGGCTCGAGCCTTATGTATGCAGTCACTCTCCCTGTCCCTGCATCATCTTGAAGGTCCAGTACCACACTTCCTCACAGAGCAACCCTGTTCTGGGAGCTCCACGCACGCACAGAGGCAGGCACATCTGAATGTGCACCTGTGCAATTGTTACTCAACTCAGTGCATGCTCTCACACATGTGCTTACACACGTGTGTACACACACACTTGTGCACATGCATCTGTGCATGCATGCACATGTACACAGTGCTACTGTACACCTCCTGACCAGACTCTGCCGCAGACAGCACTGCCCAACCCTGCTGCTGTCTGTAGGGGGCTGAGGAGGTGAGCCGGGTACACAGATCATTCTTCCTGTCTTCATTTCCTTGTCCACAGGTCATGCTGATGAGATCTTTTATTCCATCTCCTCGGGGGATCCTCATGGCTACTTTTCCATCGACTCTGCCTCCGGGCAGCTCTGCACCAGCCTGCCTCTTGATCATGAGTCCCAGGCAGTCCTCATTCTGGATGTCCAGGCCCGAAGTGGTTCACCTCCTGCCTATAGCAGCACACGCGTGAAAATCTCTGTGTCAGATGTGAATGACAACGTGCCAGTGTTCCCAGCCCCCTCCGACTCCATTCTGTTGCCAGAGGCCACAGAACCTGGGACTACAGTGTACACCTTGCAGGCCGAGGACCGTGACAGTGGTACCAACGGTCAGGTGAATTTTGAGCTGTTGTCAGGAGGTGATGGCACCTTCAGCGTGGAGCGCTCATCAGGGGCAGTGCGACTGATCGGGGCCCTGCAATATGAAGCCAGCGCAGCCTACAGGCTGGCCATTGTGGCCCGAGACAGTGGTGTTCCCCAGCTCAGCTCCACGTTCACACTGCTGGTGCATGTGCAAGCCGAGCACGACAATGGGCCCATCTTTGACACACTCACCTACCGCGTGGAGGTGCGGGAAGGTGTACCTGTCTCCACCCGCTTCCTGCAAGTGCGGGCCCTGGCACGCGACGCAGAATCCATGACCCTTACCTACCACTTGCGTGCAGATGGGGATGCTGCCAGCTTTGGCATCATGCCTGAGAGTGGTTGGCTGTATGTCAAAAGCGCACTGGACCGGGAGACGCGGGACCTGTATGTGCTCACAGTGCTGGCCTCGGCAGGAGGCAGTGGTGCAGGAGGAGAACCCCGAAAAACAGGCACCAGCACTGTACGGATCAGCATCACCGATGAGAATGACAACAGCCCCCGACTGAGTGAGGAGCGTTACTTCTTCACTGTTCCTGAAAATCAGGCTCCTGGTAGCAGTGTGGGGAGGGTGATGGCAAGTGACCGGGATGCTGGGCAGAACAGCCGGCTCACCTACCGCCTGCTCCAGCACGATCCCAACTTTCTTATCTACACACAGACAGGTGAGAGACTTCCTGGCTTCCTGGGCAGGGGCTGGCTGGGGAGAAAGCCCAGGGCAGGTCAAAAGTGATGTGGGCCAGGCGAGTGCCGCAACAGAATATTCATCTTCCTACCCCTGCGGTGCTGGGCTCCCCAGCAACATACTTGAGCACGGGCTCTTTTCTAAAGAGGTTTTTGGGCTGAACTGTGTCCCCACTTCTCCCTCACAGGGGAGCTCAGCACCAAGCATAGCCTGGACCGGGAGCAACAGTCCAGCTACCAGCTCTTGGTGATTGTGCAGGATGGGGGAGCACCACCCCGCAGTGCCACAGGAACCATCTACGTCACTGTGCTGGATGAGAATGACAATGCTCCTGCTTTCCTTCATGTGGCCAGTGGTCAGGAGCTGCCCGTGCAGGTAGGGGCAGCAGGCGGGAGCCCTGGTGTGATTGCCTCTGGGTTTGGGAGCCAGTAATTCTACAGGGGGAAAGGGAGTGGGCAGGGGCACCTAGGAGAGTTTTAGGGAGGGAAATAAGCAGGCACAAGCCGCATCCATGCAGCAGCCAGGGGAGTCTGGTAAATCTGATTGAGGTGTGGTAATATGGGCATGTGCTTGGGAAATACAGACATCCCTGTGCACCGAGCAGGTGAGGACTGCAGAGGGCTCTGAGACCTATAGGACTGACCAGCAGGCAGAAGTTCACATGCCTGCATGGAGGGAAGGCAAAAGGGAGCCCTAAACCTGACCCAGCAGAGCCAGGGGTAAAACACCTGCAAACAGGGAGGCGGGGGGTACCGTTAACTTCTAGGTCTGAGGACTTGTGGTATAGCCACTCAGCTTTCTGTGAGGTCAAGAAAGCCACTGCCCAGCTGGACTTTGCACTCACAAGGTTTTTCTGAGAATCTGCTATGGGTCCCAGCCCAGCTTTCCCTCTCAGCACTGTGTGGTGGCAGCAGTCACCCTGGCACTGAGTGTGCTGCAGACCGAGTTACATCTGTGCTGCTCAACAGAAGTGGGTGAGGACCAACCCTCCACCCGCCCCCCCAGCTGGCTGTGTCTGCTCTGCTGTGGCCCCTGTGGAGTGGCATGTGTGGGGAGGGCTCGCTGGAGCTGGCTGAGTGGTGCTGGCAGCAACAGAGCAGAGTGGGCAATCGAGGCCCTGTCCTCATCTCCTCTGCACAGAATGGGGTGAACCTGCATCTGAAAGGATGTGCTTGCTCTGCATGTTGCTGCATTTCAGGCAGTGTGCTCAAAGCCACGTGCACTGTGCTGAGTTTAAAACATCATGGTGATGGCAACCTTTCTCTGTCACAGGTCCTGCCTGAGCCACACACCAGAGGCAGGTCAGAGCAGGCAGGACTGTATTGGGAGGGGGCCGCCCGCGTCAGGAGGAGCAAGGCCTGTATTGGCAGGCCACTGCCACACCTAGGTGGCCATCACCACAGGACCCTGGGGACACTCTGCAACTCCAGTCAGGCCTTCCCTGTTCATTACTTTTTCCCGTCCTGTTCCAGGTTGCAGGCATCCCTTGCCCAGCCGCCTTCTTGCATGTCCAGCTGGCACTCTGCTTGCAAAACTGTCTGGCAAGGCTTGGCCTGGATGAAGGGATCTCTCAGGGCCTGGTGGAGGCAGAGGAAGGCAAAATTAGTCTTGTCCTCTCTCTGAGCAAGGCTCTGGTCTTTGATTCACTCCTGCAGGCTAGGGGCCAGCCAGCCGTGGCATTGCTGAGGCTGTGGCTGAACAGGCTCTGCAAAATGGCTTTGCTCATACTCTCTCTGCAGTCTGCTGAGTGGTCTGTGCTGTGCGGGGACACCCGCAGCACACTTGCACAGCAGGCTCTGCAGTTGATCCCAGTGTTTGGGAGCATGAAATGCTGGGAGTGTCCTGCTAGAGCTTGGGAGGTCTCTTCTCATACAAAGGTACCACAAAAGCATATGCATCCTACAGAAGACAGAGCAAGGCTGAGACAGATTTAGAGTCCTGCAGGCAGGTAAATGCCATGACAGTTTTGAACTAAACAAATATTTGGGCACTTTGGTTTGAAGCTATCCTGCTAGAAACACTGGTAGAGAAGGGTGAAGCACAGGAAGAAGCCACTGTTAATCATGATTTAGGTGTAGAAGAAGGGCTTGGAGGGAAAAGTAAAAACTGAAATGATAAATGCAAAGCTCAGTGATTTATTGCAGACTTGTTCAGTGAAGTATTCATATCATGTTCATTAGGCAAAGCAGAGGGAGGTTTCTGTATCAGCACCTTGCTTTAAGCATCAGCTAGAGGGGTATCTCCCAGCATAGGATTGCGAGATGAGCTTGTTGAGCGCATCGGTAACATACTGGCAGGACCAGGTAGTGTTCACATAGGAACTGCAGTAGTAACTCCCCAGGCATGGTCATTAGGAAAAGGGAGAGGAGCAAAGGGAAGGAAGAAGTGATCTGTTTTCACAGAAGGGAGATGTCACTGGTGGGTGCCTAGGACTGGTGCTGGTGTCCTTGCTATTTAGTATTTTCCTATATCCTCCAGAAGGGGTGATTGTTTGTTGATGTTACTGGTCTATTCATAGTAATAAAAGTGAGGGTTCCCTGTGAAGAACTGTAGAAGGATCTTGTTTTACTGTTCAATTAAGAAAGAAGGTGGGAGATGAAATTCACTGTTGCTGACTGGAAAGTGATACACATGGCAAAAAGCAATATGAATTTCACTTGCACAGTGGTGGGCTCTGAATTGGCTGCTTAACTTTAGGGAGAAGATCGAGGCATTGCCATGAATGCTTTGTGAAAATGTCAGCTCAGGGCTCAGCCACAGTCAAAAAGGCAAATCAAATGCTGAGTTTTATTAGAAAAGGAACAGAGAGTGAAAGAAAACATGGTTACCCTACATCTCAAATTCTGCACACGCTGTCTGCCCTGCCTCCATTCCACTAAATAAGCAATAGTGCTAGAAAAGGTTCAGAAAAGGATGTTAATGTGATCTCTAGTAGATAATGGTTTCCATGCAGAAAGAAAATACTTGAACATTCTTTGGCATGGAAGAAACTGCAGGAATATAACAGAGGTGTGCAGCGAATGGCACAAAGAAAGTCATGGGGAAAGTAGATGTTGCTTTTTTCACAAGACAAGACCTAGACAGCTTCATAAGAAATGACCAGGCAGCAGGTTTAAAATAAACCAAGGCAGGATTTTTTCATGTAGAACATAATTAAATTGTAAAATCATTGCCAAAAGTTGCATGGGTTCAAAATTAGATGAATTCATGGAAAGAAAAAAAAAAAAATCCATCAAAGGCTGTTGAACAAAAATATGATCTGTGGCTCAGGAAGTGACTTAGCCACAGACTTCTGGAAGCTGGGAAGGTTTCACAGGAGGATTATTCCATACGTACCCTATTTCTTGCATCTTCTCTTTATATCCACCGCCAGCCACTGTCAGAGCTGTGCCAGTGGTTGAGATGGGTCTCTGATCTTCGGACTAAGGTGGCATTTGCAACAACCTTCTTGGAGGGTCGACATCAGACCTGGACAAGCCTGCCTGGTAGCAATTTTACTAAGACTGAGGTTTTTGCAGAGGCAAGACCACTTCTGTTGCTGTTTATTCCTGCGTGCATCTGAAATGGCATTTGTACATGGAGCCTGTGTGGACACTGCTCATTTAACTCCTCTGCTGAGTCATTGCTTTTCTTGGGTGGAGTTTGATTCCTTGTGGAAAAGGAGCATGACCATGCACACAAAGCAGGACCCCCTTGTATCCCGGTTGAGGGCGATGAGGGACAACATGGGGGGCAGGCCCTGCCCCAGTCTGTTACAGAGGGGAGGTTGGAAGGGGCATCCTGAGCATGACCCCGCTCAGAGGTGTCCACGCAGACACTCCTTTTTGTAAACAGCCAAGCTATATTTAGAAGGTCTTCTGCCTCCATCACTGCTGTGAAATGCTGTTCCAGATTCCTTGATCTGGTAGTTAGAAACCATCTCTTAATTTCCAGCCTAAACTAATTTCTGACCACTTTATGCTCATTTGTTCTTGTGCCAATATTGTGTTTTTGCTTAAATAGCTCTTCTCTCTCTTTGGAATTTCCCTCCCCTCTCCCCAGTGTTTACAGAGTGCAGTCACATCACTGCTTGGCCTGGCTAAACAAGTCCAGCTCCTCTGGTCTCTCCTCCCAAGCACCACCAACATGGTGCCAGCAGCTTGTGCAACAGCATTAACACTTGCCTTCTCTCAGGAGCTTGCACCCTCTTTCCTTGGATTCTTGCTCAGATTCCACTTATCTTTTTTATACATGCATTAAGGTGGTACCACACAGAGATCATCTAGCACAGATGGATCTGTGAGGATGATTTGTGCTGTGCAATGTGCTGATAGGATGTGAATTTGAGGTCTTCTGATGTGGACAGGACCACAGAGTCTGTGCCAAGTAGGGAACCTGCTCTACCACTGAGGTGGGGGTAGGTGCAAGGAGCCTGTGCTGGAGGAGAGACAGGTCTGCCAGCAAGCATGGCTTGTTTGCTGAGAGTACCCCCCAAAACTGACAGGTGGTGAGGGGCAGTAATGGGGGTGTGTCCATTTCCATAACTATCCAGAAAAAGGGCTTGCACGCAATGCTCTTATATGTGGTCTCTGTCAGGAAGCTGGTAACTCACCTCAGAATGTGAGGTTAGCTGAGTACGTGTGTAATTAATGACTTGATAGTACTGTGTTGCACTGGCACAAAATGGTGGTCTTAAGTGCCTACAAACAGGCAGTCAGCAGTGCTAACTAGGAACAGAGGAGAGAAGGGAAAAGCCCTAAGAGTCCAGGTGTCCAAGCTGAGGAAGGACTGCCAGCTGCATTTCCAGAGATTGCAAACCTCCCTGGGCTGGCTGGTGGGAACTGAGGAAATCGCCTTCCATTGCCAGGTTGACTGGCCGCTGAGCTAGTCAGTGCTCACACCTTTGCATTTGCAGCTGAAGGGGTCTGTTGGGGCAGAGAGAACCAGGGCTTTCATGGAGCCCTGGATTTTCCTAGCTGTAGAGGTTTTGGATGTAACACAGGTGAGATAGTGTCCTCCCATCACCTTGCAGCTCACTGTTGCAGCATGCCCCAGTGCTGCTAAGCTGGTTGTTAAAGAGGGCAGAAGGGGAGGAGGGCTGGCAGAAACTCCCTTTGCCAGCTTTGCTGCAGACTTCTCCGTGTTATCCAGCCTCAGGCACAGCCTGTGGGTCTTACTGAGGGGTCTGTATCTTGGGTAAGGTGCAGGGCTGTGCCATGTGCAAGGGTTTGTGGGGGTAGTCTGAAGGGTATCCTGTGCCACTGAGCTGCTCCCTGTGCTGTGCTGCAGGTGCTGGAAGAGAAGCCATCAGGACTTCTAGTCGCCTCCCTGCAGGCCAAGGACCCTGACGAGGGTGAGAATGGGACCATCATCTACTCACTGACAGGTATGACCTGCAGAACTAATTGATGCTGCTGTCTGCCTTGAAGCCATCACCCTTGTGGGCAGATGGGTGCCCACTGTCCAAGCCTTGCCACACAGCACTCCCTCCTCCATCCCAACCTGCCCCTGCCCTCCTTCCTCTCTGCCTCTCCCTGCAGCATTTCACCTTCTTTTGCAGGAGCCTGGGCAGAGCGTTTCACACTGCACATGGCTACTGGAGAGTTGCGGACTGCCACAGTTCTACGACGGTCTGATCGTGCTGAGTACATCTTCACTGTGACAGCCAGTGACCGGGGCACGGTACCTCGCAGTACGTCAGCCATCATTCGCATTCAGGTATCCAGCACCCCAACTCCTCTTGTCCGTGCACCATCTACCCCTCACTTGCCTCTTGAAGGACACCATCCAGCTACTTGGCAGCCCTCCTCCCCACCTTCTCACCCTCCACCACTTTCATCCCAGGACACCCTCTGCCCGTGCTCAGCTGTTCATCCAGCCTTAAAATCTACGTGGAGAACCTGGGATGGGAAGGAATGGGTCTATCTGCCGCTGTGCATGTTCTCGTTTGTAAAGAGGTCAACAGCATTAGTAGTAACCAGTTCCATCTTTTTCAGACTTGGACAGCCAACCCTGTCCTAGATATGCTGTTGCAGAGAAGACCTTAGAGGTCCCCTGTGCAGAGACATTAATTCTTCCCAGCATCTACTGAAAGCAATGTTCCTGACATGCAAGGTGTTCTTCATGTCTGTATAACTTTGGCACTCACTGCCTGGTGTATTGGGCCAGACAGCCAAGTCCTTTCTCTGTTGTTAGTAATGAGCTTCCTTTTCCAGCAGAGACTCTGGTTTACCCCCAGTCACGGCGCTTTCACAGTACACCGTTTCACATCTTCCTGTCCCTGTTCTTGCAGTTCCCAAGGCCATTTGACTCTTCTTGTTTGATGTTCTGCTGCTTCTCTGTGCTAGCAGTGCCCTCTAATATCATCAGCAAGTTCATAACGTACTCAGCTTTCTTTTGCCCTTGCACCTATCAAAAGTAGATGTTGGCACCAAGAGCCATCTCTGCAAAGGCCTGCTAATCACTCTCCCTGAGCCAGTCGATCTTTTAGTCCTTTCTGTCACACAGTCATAGTCATACTGTGCCTTTCCTCAGTTTAATGAGTGATGTCCCGTGTGCTATTGCATCAGAGCCCAGCTAAACCCCAGGCAAATTAGATACACTGTGTTTCCTTTGCCCATGAGAAGAGAAGCACTGTGTTAGCCTGGCACATCTGCCTTTAGCCATTCCACAATACGTTTTATACCATTTCCTTTTTTATGCCCTATCTGTCACTGTTCTTGTCATTAAAGTTGTTCTACAGCTTTCAAAGTGTCAAGGCCAGGCTGTCAGGCTGGTTGTCCCTGAAGTGGTTGTTGGCATCCCTATAATGTAGCTATTTGCTTGACAGTCGCTAGTTTTGATACCCCTCTGGGCTGAGAGTTTTGCTGTATTGTCTTTTTCCTCAGCTCCTTGACATGAATGGCCTGAGTTCTTCAATACATTTTCCCTTCAAATAACACAGATTGCTTTTCATGCATCCTCTCTCCCATCCACAGATGCACCTCATCCCCAAATTAACTTCAGTATCTTTAATAAAGTAGTGATAGTATTTATCTATCTTTGGGTCATACTGGGTTATCTTTCTTCTCTACACCTCTCATCTGGATGAGTGTTACCTCTCTTCTTGCCTACTCTTGCTTATGGTTTGCAGAATTGTTTCTGCTGGCGTCTGTTGCCGTTGCAGCATCTACCACAATCACAGACTCACAGAATGGTTGAGGTGGGAAGGCACCTCTAGAGGTGTCTTGTCCAACCACCCTGTTTAAGCAGAGCCACCCAGAATCAGTTGCCCAGGACCATGCCCAGGTGGCTTTTGACTGCCTCCAAGGATGGATACTCCACCACCTCTCTGGGCAACCTGTGCCAGTGCTCAGTCACCCTCACAGTGAAAAGTGTTTCCTGATGTTCAGAGGGAACCTCCTGTGTTTCAGCTTGTGCCCATAGCCTCTGGACCTGGCACTGGCACCACTGGGTGCCACTGGGCACCTGGCTCCGTCCTCTTTGCACCCTCCCTTCAGGTGTTGATATACTTTGGTAGTATCACCCCTGAGCCTTCTCTGCCCAGTCAGCAGCTCCGTCTGTCCTTACCCACCCTAGCTCCCCAGGTGAAGCTCGTCTTTCACCCTGTCAAACCCATGCTTATTCTCAGTATGTTTTTCAGGTTGCTATTCATCTGTTAGGCCACAAGAGCTGAGACCTTGCCTCCTGACACCTGCTTTCTGCAGGCCCCATGTCCCCCTCTGCACTGGCTCCCCAATAGGACCTCCTGGCACACAGCACCCTGGTGCGTGCCCCTCACTGCTGCCTCTCCTCACAGGTGCTGCCATCCTCCCGGGTGCTGCCACGGCCTGATGCCACTGTGCTGACCCTGCACCCTCTCGAGGGGGTCAAGCCAGGGTCTGTGATCGGCTCAGTGGCACCCCCAGATGCCCCTGCACGAGGACAACTGACCTACACAGTGGTAGGAGGTGGTGGGGATGGCACCTTTGTGGTTGACAGTGTGACAGGGGAGATTTACGCTGCCCGGGAGCTGGACTATGAAGCTGGGGCACGGCACGTTCTCCAGGTGAGTGCTGAGGACACGCAGCATGGCTATCCCTCCAGCCGACTGGTGCTGGTACAGATCCATGTGCAAGACTGCAATGACCAGGCGCCCACCTTCCCTGAAGACCCCATCACCATCGTGGTGCCCGAGAATGCCCAGGCTGGCTCATCCATCTTCACCTTCCAGGCGCTGGATGGGGATGGTGTGGGTCCCAATAGCCAGGTGCGCTATGCCCTGCTGCACCAGGAGCCCCCTGGGGCTCCCTTCCAGCTTGACAGCCGCTCAGGGCTGCTGACCCTTCGCCAGGGCCTTGACCGGGAGGCTGCTGCCTCCTTCCTCTTGGTGGTGGAGGCCACAGACCAGGCCCGCAACATCAGCCAGCGCCGCTCGGCAGCTGTCACAGCCCGTGTATTTGTGACCGATGAAAATGACAACGCGCCCGTGTTCCTCTCACCTGCTGCTGTCAGCGTCATGGAGGACCAGCCAACGGGGTTCGTGGCGCTGCATGTGTTGGCCCAGGATGATGATTTGGGAGAGAATGGGCGTGTGAGCTACTTGTTGCGAGCAGGCAACAGTGACGGCCGCTTCCACCTTAACCCCAGCACGGGTGAGTGCCCAGGATGGTGCAGGGTGGGCGGCAGGGACGCTGGGAATGCGGGGGCTGAGGATGGTGCAGGGATACACGGGGATGCAGCATGCTGCACAGGAGGAGGAGGGTGTGGGCTGGGGAACTTGCAGGAGGGAGACTTGTGGGGTGTTGGAGAGCCCCAGGCTTAGCACCTGGTTGGCATGATCTCTCTTGAGACCCGGCTGTCCCTGGCTCACCCCAGTGCCTGCAGCCCTGCGATAGCTCTGTCCTGGGAACAGTCAGCCCTGGTGCCGTGCGGTCCCAGCTCGCCCCTCTCCCTGTGTCTGCAGGTGCGCTCTCCATTGTGCGGGCCCTGAACCGGGAGGAGGTGGTGCAGCACAACCTGACTGTGGTGGCCATGGATCACGGTTTCCCACGCCGCTCTGCCACACAGCTACTGTCTGTGCTGGTGCTGGATGTCAATGATGAGGCTCCCACTTTTGAGAAACCTGAGTATGAAGCACACATCATGGAGAACTTACCAGCTGGCAGCCCTGTGCTGCAGGTGCTGGCCACAGACCGGGACCTGGGTGAGGATGCAGGGCGAGGGTGAGATGCCTAATTTGGTCAGGGGGTCTTCGGGAGGTGCACCACCCAGGGACTGGGTGCACTCTGCTCCCTCACACCTAGTTTGGAGAGCCTGGTTGACCAGGGAGGGAAGGATCATCACCTGACCTGGAGATGAGAGATGGGCTGAATTCTGGGAGAAGCTAAGAATGAGAACAGGGACTGTGATTCCCTCTGCTCCCCAAGACTATACCCTTTGTTCCTTGGAGGTTCTTTGACCCATCTTCCCTTCCACAAGCTGAGCTGGTCTGGGACCTTCCTCCACCACACATCTCTGCCCTAGCTTTACTTGCCAGAGAGTGAGATCATCCTCTCCCACAGCCTGTGTAACCCCTGGGTGGGAAGCCTGTGAGGAGGGACGTGCAGGGCTGTGAGCCAAATGAGAGGCTCCCAGGGTTGCTGTTGGGCTGCCCTCAAACCATGTTCCTCCCTGCAGGTGCCAATGGGCAGGTGTCCTATGGGGGTCTCTCTGGAGGGCCATTCTCCATCCACCCACAGACGGGGCTTATTGTCACCACACATGCCCTGGACCGTGAGGAGCAGGAGCAACACGTGTTGATGGGTAGGGCTGTACTGGTGCATGACAGGGATGCAGCTGGTGGGGGGGTACAGAGCACAGGGGAGGCAGATGGGTGCTCCCCACTGCTGGGGTAGGGCAGTATTGCAGGGAGGGCAGGCCATGGGAAGTGTTGGGGGTTTGTGGGGGGGCAGGGTTGTTGGTAATGCCAGTGATCCCATGCCTGGCTGCCCCTGTGATTGTCTGGGCATTTGCATATGACAGCCTTGATAGTAGCTCCCAGTCAACAGGGTAGCCTGCAGTGCTCTTGCTGTGTTCCTGCAGTCTATGCACGGGATGGTGGCCTGCCCCCCAACCTCTCCAAGACAACTGTGCGGATAATAGTCGGGGATGAGAATGACCACGCACCGCACCTGGAGAGTGAGTCCTGCTCTGTGGAGGTCCCTGAGAACCAAAGCAGCGTGGCACTCTACACCCTGCGGGCCACTGATCCTGATGGAGGCGAGAACGGGCGCTTGGAGTACCACGTGGCAGGTGGGGCACACAGGGAGCTCTGTATCTTCTTTCTTGGCGGTCAGTAAGGGCTGTTCACCCTGGGTTGCCTGTGGCTCTGGGAAGCATCACCTGTGGCCCTCCTGCTCCAAACCACATGAGCTGCTGCCACCTCTCAGCCCTCTAGCTTCTCTTCCCCCAGTAAAGAGCACCCCAAGATGTGGACAGGTCGCACTTCCACATTCCCCGGGCTCTTGTCTGGTTCCCCAGAGGCTCGTACTAGTTCCATACTTCTCTTGGCTGCTCTGACCTGTTGAATTTACAGGCTTCTAAGCGAGATCTCTTTGCTGTTATCATGCCATGCATTATCTGGGGGCGGCTTCTAAGCTGTTGGAGCCAGTTCTTACACACACACAGAGCTGGACCGAGGAGGTTCAATCCCACTCAGGCCTTACAGAGAACAGCTCGGTCTACCTTCCCTGCCAGGCAACACTCGGATGGACTTCATGCCGTCCTCTCTGGGCAGCATAGGGCAGGTCCTTCATTGTACCAGTTATAGTCATCCTGTCTTGTTATTCCCTCTCTTCTTTTCCAGATGGAGACCCTGGGCAGGATTTCAGCCTAGACCCAGTCTCCGGTGTCCTCTCCACTGCACGTGCCCTTGACCGGGAACAAGTTGCTTCCTACAGCCTCACAGTGGTGGTGCAAGACCATGGCACCCCCCCGCGCAGTGCCACTATGTCAGTGAACGTGCGGGTGTTGGACCTAAATGACAACGCACCTGGTTTTGCTGAGGCCACCTATGTGGTGGAGGTGCCAGAGGACCTGCCTGTTGGTGCCCTGGTGTTGCAGCTGGTGGCTGAGGACCCTGATGAGGGCACCAATGGGCAAGTCTCTTACTACCTGGGCAACGAGTCCCTTGGCATGTTCCAGGTTGAGCCACAGAGTGGGCGCATCAGAAGCGCCCAGGCGCTGGACCGGGAACGCCACCCCAGTTACAGCTTCCTGGCCAAGGCTGTGGACTCAGCACCGTGGGAGCCCAAGAGCGCAGCTGTGCGAGTCACGGTCACGGTGCGAGATGTCAATGACCATGCCCCTGCCTTCCTGCACAGCCCACTCACTGTCAACTTGTCCCGCCACACACCGCTCAAGCAGGTCGTGGCCACCATGCGGGCAGAGGACAGGGACGCAGGTGCCAATGCCTCCATCCTGTATCGCCTTGCCACACCCAACTCTGCCTTCGCAATCAACTCCTACACAGGGGATATCCAACTGCTGCAGCCTCTGGGCTCACTCAGCCAGCGCCAGCGGACACTCTTCATCCTCGCCACAGACCTGGGGCAACCAGCACTCTCCTCCACCGGTGTGGTGGTGATCCATTTGCAGGAAGAGCCCTACCGCGGGCTGCGCTTTCCCCGGAGCACCAGTGATGTGGCCCTGCCAGAAAATGCTGCCCCAGGTATCAGCTGGGCAGAGTGACCAGCAAGTGCTGGGATGAAATGAGACAGGACAGGAGGGGAAGTGGGTGCTGGGCTGGCAAAACTGTGGGAAACTCAAGCCAGGGAGCACTGCAGGGTCCCCATTATGCTTTGGGTAGACCCAAGGGGCTGCAGGGTCTGACTGGTGCCCAGGCTGTTCAGGGTGGTAATCCCTGTGGGTTTGCCACAGGGTGTTCAGATCACTGTAGGGCATCACAGGTGCCTCAGTTACTCCTGGGAGATCTCCAGGAGCCACAGTGAGACCATAGAGAAGCCATGGGCAGGCCCCACGAGTCCTGATTCCTCGCCCAAAGTTATCACTAGAGCTTACTTCCTCTACTAGCAGTGTCCTCAGGCAGAGCTGTGTTCCTGTGGTACAGGAGCAGCATGTGCTGCCCACACACCACCCTGACCCTCTCTGCCACCTGTCCCGAGGCTCTGTTGCCCATTCACACTGTTTCACTCTCTTCCAGGCACTGCTGTGGCAAGCATCCAAGCTATGCACACAGGGGGCTCTTCTGGGCGCATCACATACAGCATCGTCAGTGGCAACGAGAAGAATGCATTCCTTATCCAGCCCAGTTCAGGTACAGCACCAAGACCACCTGGGGAAGCAGCAAGTGGGAGGCCACCTGTGCTCTGCCAATGCCTGCTATCACAAGGCTCAGCACCCCCCCCAAAGGAACAGGAACACAGTCCACACCTCTATACCAGTATATTAAATAGTGTTAGTATTTGGACATGGACACTAACCTGTCATTGTCCAGAGGCTGTTAGCATAGCTCCCAGCACAATTTTGGTCCCTCCTAACTGGACCTTTCCCAAAAGTCTCCTAGGCCCAGTTCAGGAGTCAGCAGAGGTCAGGACCATTACTAAGATGCAATCTGCGTGCAGCCCCTGCCTTAGATGGCAAATTCAGCCAAATGACACATCCTATGTTGGGACCTCAGAGCCTGGCACCTAGACTGCCAAGCTTTTTTCTCTGGTGTGCATGAGGCTGCTGTGACTGCAGCACTGCTGTGGTTTCATGGCTGACTCTGTGCAGTCCCGAAGAAGATAATAAATGGGGAACCACTCACTGTCCAGAGGGCATTCTAAGGCAGCCCTCCCTCTGCACCAGACTGTTCCCTGAGCAGTCAGCAGGTGCTGAACATATCAGTGGTGCTTGTGCGTGACTGATAACCCAGGCATAGCAGTGAGGCAGGTTGCAGGGTGCTGCTCAGTGGCACTGGGCAAGCTGGCATTGTTTGCACCACATGCCTCAAAGGGCAGCCTTTGAAGGGCCGCACATCCCTTGGCATCAAGGAAAGCCTGGCTGAGGGTAGAGTGAGGGGTGCCTTGCTGTGAGGTTGATGCTTGCCCTGTAGTTTGGAAGAGACTGGGATATCACAACTCCCAGTATCAATCAAGCACCTCTCCTATGAAGACAGGCCAAGAGAGTTGGGGTTGCTCAGCCTGGAGAAGAGAAGGCTGCGGGGAGACCTTATAGCACCTTCCAGTACCTAAGGAGACCTACAAGAAAGCTGGAGAGGGACTCTTTATCAGGGAGTGTAGTGAGAGGACAAGGGGTAATGGCTTTAAACTAAAAGATAGTAGATTTAGATTAGATATAAGGAAAAAATTCTTCACTGTGAGGGTCGTGAGGCACTGGAACCGATTGCCCGGAGAAGCTGTGGATGTCTCCTCCCTGGCAGTGTTCAAGGCCAGGTTGGATGGGGCTTGGGGGGACCTGGGCTAGTGGAGGGTGTCCCTGCCCATGGCAGGGGGGTTGGAACTAGATGATCTTTGAGGTCCCTTCCAACCCAAACCATTCTGTGATTCTGTGACAACACAGCTGGAACAGACCTCACAGAACCCTTCTCCCCCTTGCTTTTCCACCCAGGTCTTCAGCCAGACCTTGCATACAGGGACCATGCTCCCCAGTATGGGAGGCTGCGGCAAGGCCTGATGGTGTCACAGAATCACATTTCCCACTGTCATCCCTGTTCCTTTGCATCCCTTCATCTTGTCTTTGCTCGAGCCGTGTGTACCAGTGGTTCTCAGAACACCCTGGACATGTCCTGGTTGCGCTCTAGGTTGCACCTTGGTTGCTGTAGCAATACCTCTTTGTCTCAATGAGGAAACGTTTCCCTCGGGCAAAGTGCCCAAAACGCAGGATTTTTCCCTTAAAACATGTCCCTCCTTGAGTCCTGTTTGTCGGTCTGTGAGATGCTGTGCTGCTTTCTCCCAGAGCAAGGGGCTGCATGCTGGAACCAGATATGGAGTGCTGGAGCACCACAGTGAGGGAGGCCAGGGAGGACTGGCACAGTGCTGCTCTCCTGCCCTGTGCCAGCTACTGAGCAGTGTTAGCTCTGCTGTGACAACGGGCCAGTGCATGGGCACCAGCTCTCCAGGGAGGACCAGAGGTGATGTCCACAGGAGCTGTATGAGAGTTTTGCATTGGAGAGCACACTAAAGTGCCTGCTGTGGACAAGACCAGAGCAGACAATGTCATAGGACCATCCTTAGCCCCATACTGTGGCACTTCAGGCTCTGCTGCTTCTGTCCCAGGCAGGAACAACCCTTCAGAAAGTGGACTGCTGCTTACTGCTTTCCTTGTATTTTGTCTGGCTCAAGCCAGCCCCGGCGGCAGGGCCTGCTTTGGCAACCACATGGTGCAAGAGGGGCAAGGGAGCACAGCCTGCTCCCTGCCCTTGGGTTGCAGGAAGTGAGGATGCAGCCGTTCATACCAGGGCGCCATGCTGGTAGCTGTAATCTGTGTGCATTGGAACTTGTGTTATCATGCAAAGCTAGCAGCAGAGCTCTTAGGCAGACGCTAAGCTTGTCCAAGGCCACATAGCTGTTCTAGATGCCTCATACTGCATCCCTATTGCCTGACCAATTCACATGGAGGTTGCACGTAGATGCTGAAACAGGCTGCAGAGAGTGTGAGGCTCTGCAGGACTCCCCAAGGCAGGAATTCAGCCGCAGGAGCACAGTTCCTCCTCATTACATTTCAATGCATGCCTGTAGGAATGCTGCCAGTCATTTTAGCATATCTTTTTGGATGCCCTCCACCTTCTTGGGTGGGAGAGCAATACCTTGTCATTATGAAAACCCAGGTGCACAGTGGCTCAGGAGGATAAGAATGGATGTCTGTCCTCAGACCCCTAGCAGGACAACTGGCAGCTGCTACAGTGTCTTCGTAAGGATTTGACCTAGACTAATAGCTGCAGTTAAGTGACTTTGGCTTGGAGCTTGATGAGCTTGTGTAGCAGTATGGGTCTTGACACAGAGCAGTTTGTTTTTAAACTGGCCATACCTCAGATGCTGTCTCCATAGTGGAGGACTATTGCATGCTTTAATGTAAGCAGAAGCTGTCTGTCCTGAGCAGGGTGCAGGATTTATCACCCAGGGCGGCTGACTGGGACTGATGAGAAGGCTGTCAGTTTGCAGAGGACTCAGAAGAGCTCAGTGTGTTTGTTCTGTCTCTCTGAGAATGGATGGACGAGCAGAGGGCTGGACTGAGTGCAAGGGAACAAAAGAGAAGATGAGGGACGGATGTGCAGGTGCATCACTCACCCCCTCTTCAACCACCCCATCCTGCTGTTTCTCTGCTCCCAGGTGCCATCTCAGTTCAGGACTCCAGCAGCCTGGATTTTGAGGCCAGCCCCCGCCTGCGCCTTGTGGTCCAGGCAGAGACAGCAGCTTCCTTTGGCTTTATGGCCATAAACCTTAACCTGCAAGATGTGAACGACAACTTGCCACGCTTCCAGCTGCAGAACTACGTGGCATTCATCTGGGAGTCACAGAGCTACGACTCACCGGTCATCCAGGTATCAGTGGGGGCACAGGCAGGGACATCTGGGCCCCTGGCCTGCCTCTCTGCCAGGGTGAGGGGGTGGGGGGCTGTGCCATGGGCCTGGGGCTGGCACCTATGGATAGGTCTAGCTTTGGAGGGCTGTGGTTTGCAGCACTCCACAACTGCACTACTGAATCTCTTATGTGGCTTTGCAGGTCCTGGCAGATGATCTCGATCAGGGAGCGAATGGGCAGGTGACTTATGCCATCAACCAGTCCCTGCCAATGACAGGCTTGTACCACATCGATCCTCAGACTGGCACTATCACTACTGCTGCCATCCTGGACAGGGAGATCTGGTCCCAGACCCGGTGAGTGGAGCGAGACTAGCTTGTGCCACAGGTATGAGGAGGACATAGCTGTGGAGCAGCATCCCCAAGGCTGTGGAGGATACTCTGCTACTTGGTGCTACCCAAAGCTGTCTCAGCTCTGTCTGTAAAATGTTTTTGCTAAACAGCAGGAACTTAGGCTTAGTGTTAACAGGGGGAGCAAATGGTGTTGAAGGCACAACAGATGGCCACGAGATGAGCCAATGCTCTGTTCAGCCTGGTCTTTGCAAATGTGAGAAGATTGTGAGGGGGCCAGTAGACTCTTTTCAGTGGCTGCATCCATTCCCTTTCCTGCTTGCTTAATCCAGCCTACATATGCTCAGTCTCTTCCCACGCCCATGCATTGCACCCTTTTGCCCTGCCACACATGCTCCAGGCATTACACACTGCCCTGAACCCTCTTGCAAGTCCTCCTGCATTCAGCTGAGGTCCTCTGGGCCCCTCACTGTGTGCACGCACTCTAGACATCGTCCAGCCAGTCTAGCCATGTGTATATAAGATAATGGCAAACACTACACAGAACGAATTTAAGTCTTCCCCTGCCCTTTTAGACATGCATGGTTCAGATGCAAGGAACAACTTCTGCCACCCCACCCAGGCTATGTTCTCTCCTCTGTATGCATGCTCCAATGGCTACATGTCTCTCTCTCATCTTCCCAGGCATGGGGAGGCCTAGGGCATTCATTCCGTTCACATACCGATCACCATTCCACAAAGAGGCTCCACGCATTCCCCAACACCCAGATATGCTCCAGATGCCTGTCTCCTTGCACCCCACAACACACTCTGCCTGCATCATCTCCCACACATGTTCCAGACACCTGCCCCTTGCACACAGACTGAAAATGCTGTGGGTGCATCCGCTATGTCCCCTTGCAAAAGCTGCCAACTGGGCATGCGTCTTTTGTCCTAGTGCATGAATCCACTGCCCACCACATGCTCCAAACATTTGTACCACTTTCACTGCCTGATCATATGCTGGACACAAACCCACTGCCCTCCAAACACGCACCTCAGATGTGCATCCATCTGCTGCCCTGCCCCACCATACTCTCAGTGTACACACATCCACTGCCCCACACATGCACTCCAGATGCTCTGCATATATCCGTTGCCCCAGACACTCCAGATGCTGCGCACAGCTCCACTACTGCATGAACACACTCCAACCTGGTGCACACATGCGGTAGCCCCCCAACATGCTGTGCATGCATGCATTGCTACCTCACACATATGGCCACATCTTTGAACCTTGTGCTGTGCCCTTGTGCTTGCCCACAGTTTGGTGGTAACGGCAATGGACAGAGGGACGCCGCCTCTTGTGGGCTCTGCCACGCTGACCGTTGTGGTGATGGACATCAATGACAATAGCCCCACCATCCCGTTTCCCTGGGAGGTGCGGGTCCCAGAGAGTAAGTGCAACTCAGCTCCATGAGGTAATGTGTCACCGATGGCAACAGCTGAGGCGCAATAGACACCTGTGGGTCGGGAAGAAGCCCCCAGAGAGGCCTGTCCATCCCCTTGCCAAGGGCTAGCTTGTGCTGACCCATGGGCTGAGCTCCCCCTGAGCTCTTCAGCACTGCCCCATCTGTGATAGGCTGAGGGTTGTACAGCCACTGTGTTGCAGCTGTGTCCTGAGGGAACCAGCTGAATTCCCAACTGATCCCTGGCCCCTGCTTGCACTGCAGGGTCTCTGGCTGCACACACCTGCCCTGCCTGCTCTCTGTCCTCAGCCTGTGTGCCCTGTGCCAGCCTTGACCTGCCCTGCCTAGCTCCCAAGACCTTCCCCTTCACCTCTAGCACCTTCCCTTTGTCCCTGATGCTCAGGCTCTGGTCTGAGCTGGTTTCCCACCACATGAGCCAGGTCTTCTCCAAGGAGATGGGGCTGCTTGCTCATGCCTTGCCTTTCCACAGACACGCTGCTGGGCACCCAGATAGCCCAGCTGACCGGGAATGATGTGGACTCAGGTCCCACGCTCTCCTACACCCTCATGCTGGATGGTGATGCCATGGGCACGTTCAGTGTGCTGCGGTATGGGGGACGCATTGCCCTGACAGGGCCACTGGACTACGAGCAGCGCAGCCACTACACCGTCACCCTGCGTGCCTCTGACACACGCCATGAAACCGAGGCCAACCTCACCGTCATCGTGGAGGATGTGAACGACAACGCACCAACTTTCAGCCAGGGCTTCTATCAGGTACTGTGCACACAGGTGTGACAGGCAGCGTGGGTCTCCTGCGTGAGCCCCTCTGCTGCTGCTGCCGCTGCCTGGCTCACCTGGCCTTACGAGGCACAGAGATCCCCTTGAGGATGGGTCTGAGCTTGTCTTGGCCTCTCTCTTCCTGGGCTCCCATCCACATCCTGACACCCCTTGTGCTGTCTGGTGTGGACAGGAGGCTGAAACCAGGCAGGTAGCACTGGGATCAGGAGCTGCGGGCCTGCACAGCTGCATGCAGATGGTACTTGATGGAATGAGCGGGAACAGTGGGAAGGCCAGAAGTGGTGGGAGATGGGTCACAAGCCGGACAAGTGTTTCTGGCGAGATCTGGCCTGGAGCCCCATAGGCAGATCACTGGATGAAAGCTGACTCGTGCAATGTGCTGCATCTCTGGAGCAGACATGCAAGTAGCTGGGAAGTCGCAGAAATGCTTGAAAGTTGTGAGAGCACAGACCAATCTAAGTGTCTGTATGTGTTGTTTGGCACAAGACGAGCTGTTCTGATTTGCGTAAAATACCTTTTGTCGAGAAAATATCAGTTATTAAATAGTTCTTCAGAACAGCAAAGTAGAGAAAAGGATCCGGAACTGGATGCTGAAGCTGGTTGGGAGTCACACTAGCAAGGCTAGGTGCTGTGCACATGGGACAGGCCCCCTCAGTGTGCCAGCCATGGCCCTGGTGCAGGGGTGGGGAAGGCCCCGGCCAGCAATGAGCCGGGCCGCATTGGCTATCGCTGCCCTGGCCAGCCCCAGACCTTCTCCCAGCTCTGCTGAGTGGCTCCAGGCAAGGGGGAACAGGCGCCCGCATGGGGGACCTGGTGCTGACTGGGGCTTCCTCCTCTTCCAGGTGACGTTGCCGGAGCACACACCTGCAGGCAGCATCATTCTCACTGTGAGCGCAACCGACCCAGACTCGGGGAGCAACGGGGATGTCACGTTCCACCTGGCCGTGCCCAGCCTTGACATCGCCATCGACCCCAGCAATGGTGTGTGGGGCTGATGGCTGTGTGGGGCCCATATTGTGGGTTGCTCTGACAGTGCCTGCAGAGGGAGGTGTCCCCATGCTGGCCCAGGCTCAGCCCCTCACAAGGTCGCTGTCTGGGGTGGCTAGTGAGGCAGACATGGTGGTGTGGCCATCAAGCGTTCCCACTGCAGCATCCCAGATGCCTATTTCTCCAGCCAATAAATAACCCTAAGACCCTTCCCAGCTCCCTGTTGGCCCCCATGCTGACTCTGGCTTTGTGCCCTCACAGGGACCCTCTTCACCATCCGTCGGGTGGAATTCGATGCCAGCCAGCCCACCCTGGACCTGGTGGTGGAGGCCCGCGACCATGGCTCACCCAGTCTCTCATCCTGGGCCACAGTGCAGCTCCAGGTGCTGGATGTGAATGACCACAGCCCCAGCTTCCAGGTGCCACGCTACAATGCCAGTGTCCCCGAGGACCTGCGCCCAGGAACCACCGTGCTGACCCTAGAGGCAGGTGATGCTGACCTCTCCCGGGAGAATGCTGGCTTCGACTACACCATTGTCAGTGGCAATGGAGGCAATGCCTTCCAAGTGGAGAGCCGGGTGGCCTGGGCAGGGGGACATCTCCGCATGCAAGGTGCCTTGGTGCTTGTGGAGCCCTTGGACTTTGAGGCCATCCCAGTCTACAACCTCACTGTGGCAGCTTCAGACCGAGGCCTGCCGCAGCGCAGCGCCACAGTGCCTGTGCTCATCACCGTGCGCGATGTCAACGACAACCCACCTGTGTTCACCCGAGCTGAGTACCGCACAGCGGTGAGTGAGAGCGCACCCCCCGGCACAGAGCTGCTGCGCGTGGTGGCCCATGATGCTGACTCAGGGCCCCATGGCCATGTTCACTACACCATCAGCTCAGGTGACCAGCATGGGCTCTTCCAGCTTCATGAGAGCACGGGGGCCCTGTGCCTTGCACGGCCCCTGGACCGGGAAGCCCAGGCACTGCATGCACTCGTAGTGCAGGCCATGGACGTGCCGGGTGGGCACTTTGCGCTGGTACCTGTAGCCATCGAGGTGAAGGATGTCAACGATAACAAGCCGTACTTCCCAGTGGAGGTGCTGAGTGCCAGCATGCGGGAGAACCTGCCTCCTGGCACACTGGTCACCACATTGCATGCCGTTGATGCAGACACTGGTGTCTTTGGGGAACTGCGGTACACAGTGCTGGAGCAGCCGGTGGGGGAGCCCGGCATGGTGGAAGGCCGAGATGCCTTTGCCGTCAACAGCAGCTCTGGGGAGCTGCGCTCCCGACTTACCTTTGACTATGAACGAGCCAAAGCCTTCCAGCTCCTTGTCAGGGCCACTGATGCTGGCAATGCCTCTGCCACAGTGACCGTGCGGGTGCTGGTGACAGGGGAAGATGAATATGATCCCATCTTCCTCAGCCCCTCCTTCAACTTTGAGGTCCCTGAGGGGGCCCGCAAAGGGCAGAGCATTGGGCGGGTGCTGGCAACAGATGAGGATGAGGGGGCTGACGGCGTTGTACTGTACTCCCTGGCAAAGCCCTCACCATACTTTGCCATCAACCAAACCACTGGCACTATCTA